CCTCTCGGCGTCGAGAGTGTACATACCCTCAACGGCCGAGAGCGGTTTCCCCTCTTGGCCGTTGAGAATGCGGTCTCGCGGCCGGGAGGATGCCTCCCGGCCGCTGCCGTGGGGTGGGGGTTGATTTGGTTTATCGACCCCCAAACCCTGGTCGGTTTGGGAGGATCGACTCCCGAACCAACCGGGGGTTTTTATTTTTTTTTTATTAAATTCTTAGGGAGTCGACTCCCAAACCGGTCGACGGTTTTGGGGGATCGACTCCCTAATTTCGGGGGTTTCAGGGTTTGGGAGTCGACTCTCCAATTTTGGGGAGTCGATTAACCAAGCCCCTTTTTAAATCCAAATCCAATACAATGTATTTTTTCACCAACCAAGGAAATACTGATACCGGTATCAGGCTCAAAATAAATATGATACGATCCAATACAAATACATGTCTCGTATCTGTTGCACCGTTGTTGCTTTGTTCTGAGAATGTGCAAGATCCCATCACTGTTGCCGGGTGGAATCGTGACAAATTTGTGGTACTTCTTGAGTAAGTTGACTCCAAGATGAATGACAGAATTTCTTTCAGAATCTGGCTCCTGGCTCTTAGTCTGGTGGCTTGGACCCTTGTTGAGCTTATGCTTCTTTGCAGAAGACAGCTCTTTAAACTTCATATTTTTTTTTTTTGGGGGGGGGGGGAGTGGAGTGACACTCCGTTGTTGGGTTTAAGCTAACAGTCACAAGTCAGTTAACCAGTACAAGGACAGGAAGATCAGCACTACTCATGAGGGCAATGGCCCATTTCTGAACATTCCTGGTAGTTAAGGGAATGTAGCAACTTTGATTGGTTGCATGAATGAAGACTGGCAACTTTAAACTTAGGCTGGTTTTTGATGTTTGTCAAGTGAATCACATAGATCTTGTTGGAAGGAATGTTGATGTAATTGAAGTTGTTTGCTATAACAGACTGATTGGATGAGGAAGCTTGTTGGGTGGCCACTGGCAACCTGCTTCAAGTTGTGCTTGTTCAGCTCAATAGCCAACTTCTTGTCTTTTTTGAGTTTGCCAGGTTGACCATCACAAATTCTAAGACTACGTTTGTGTGGTCCTTCCCGTTGGCAATGATGGTGGCAATCCAGTGAGAATAAGTGTTTTTTTCATTTACATTATAGTTTGCTGGCTTGAGAAACTCATCAGCTGCTGGAAGCTTCATCAAGATCTTCCAGTCAATGTGCAAAGATCCAAATTGTAAAGCATTTTGAATTGCCGCCTCAGTGCCTTTAAACTTCTTCTCACATTCCTTAGCAACAATATCTCAAAATTTATCAAGACTAGTGGATACTGCAGGGAACAAAATTTGGAACTGTTGTTTCTTTTTCATCATGTTCCAAGCACCCTGAGGTTTTGCGGCATCCTTTGGGGAAAACAGCTTGTAGCTGGTTTGGCAATTGACCACCTGAGACTGAATAAAAAAAGTACTTTCAGTTCATGGAGCCCAAAAGATTCAAAACAACCGGGATGGTTGTTCACCAAGCCCTGAATCTTCCAGTATTTGGAAGCTGAATAGTTACTGACGGCAGGTTTTCTTGAATCTCTTCCAAGGATATCAAGGCCAAAGTGAGACATTTTGGCAATGGTGGCTATTAAGAAAAATTCATTGCGTCCTGGTGTTTTGGGAAGTTGTTTGCTGGCAGGCTGGAGCCTACAGGCCACCAATACCAATCGAGCACAACATGATGGGGCTGTTTTCACCATAGTGGAAAGCATCATGGTCATCAACATTATTTCACAAGGAAGAGAAAAAGATGAAGAAGAAAAAAAAATGAACTCAAAATCATAGAATTCCTTGATTTTGGAACAGCAAACTTGGGAATCTGTCCAAGCTTTCTTCAAAAGACAATATGTGAAATCTGCCCTGCACCACCAAAACCTCATTAGATGCCACAAGGATTTGTAAGATGTTTATTGCAGCCAAATGGAGCCTTAGTTTAAAATTGTTTCTATTTTCTAGTACACCACCAAAACATTACCAAACTCCCTCCCCTGAAAAACCTATCTTCCAGACTATCTTGTGTGATTTAATTGTGATAAAACATTCCTCTAGAACTTGTAATGTGCATACAGTGATCAGTTTCTGAGAGCAAATCCATTTTCACTAAAAATCTTACTTTTAGTTTTGAGATGCTCAGAATTGTTCTCATCAGCCCCCAAGTGCCACAGTATGTCACATGTGCTCTAGTCAGAGGTGGTTCTGGGAGTGATATGCCTGTGACAGGCATGTGGGCATACCCTTCGGGTGGGTTGGGCTGGCTTAGTAGGAGAGGAAAACCATCAGGATAGCAAGAAGAAGAAGATGCCTCGAGAACTCATCACCATCTCGGCCGGACAAGCTGGAAACCAAATCTCATCCGAATTCTGGCCACAGATCTGCGCCGAACACGGCATCTCACCCACCGGCCTGCTCCAGCCTCCACCTCAGCCATCATCCTCATCAGGCCCAACAAACAATAACCCATTCCAGACCAACGACTGCTCGGCTATCGATCGCAAGGATGTCTTCTTCTACCAGGCTGATGACGACCACTACATCCCACGGGCTATCATGATCGACCTCGAGCCAAGGGTGATCAATACCATCCTCACCAGCGAATACAGCAAACTCTATAACCCCGAGAACGTCTATCTCTCAAAGGATGGCGGCGGGGCTGGCAATAACTGGGCGGCTGGCTACGAGACTGGAGAGAAGATCTACGAGGAGGTGATGGACATGCTCGATCGCGAGGCTGACGGATCTGACTCACTCGAAGGCTTCATGCTCCTGCATTCGATCGCTGGCGGAACGGGTTCCGGATTGGGCTCCTACCTGCTCGAACGACTCTCGGATTCATATCCAAAGAAGCTCGTCCAAACCTACTCCGTCTTCCCTCACAGTGACGATAGCTCAGATGTCGTCGTCCAACCCTATAACTCGATCCTAGCCATCAAAAGACTCGTGAACCATTCAGATTCAGTCGTCGTACTCGATAACGCAGCCCTGGCCAGGATTGTCTCCGATAAGCTACACGTCTCCTCGCCCACCTGGCAGCAAACCAACCGCCTCGTCTCCACCGTCATGTCTGCCGCCACGACCACCCTCAGATACCCAGGTTACATGAATAACGACCTGGTCGGCATGATCGCAAGCTTGATCCCCACCCCGCGCTGCCACTTCCTCATGACCTCCTATACCCCCTTCACCTCCGAACGCGACGGCCAGGAAGAGGCAAAGAGCGTCCGCAAGACAACCGTGCTCGACGTCATGCGTAGACTGCTCCAGCCTAAGAATAGGATGGTCTCCACCGGCGCAACGATCAACAAATCCGCATGTTACATCTCCATCCTCAATATCATCCAAGGTGAAGTCGATCCAACCGATGTATGTGTGGTTCTATCATCACGCGCATACTCTGCTCCACAAACTGATTTTTTTTTTTTTTTTTCACATTCAGGTGCATAAATCGTTACTGCGGATACGGGAACGTCATCTTGCCAATTTCATCCCTTGGGGGCCGGCCTCGATCCAAGTAGCGCTAACGAAGAAGTCCCCATACATCCAAACGCAACACCGAGTCAGCGGATTGATGCTAGCCAATCACACAAGCATCGCCTCAGTTAAGCGTCTCCACTCTTTCTGTCCCCGCCTCAGTATCTGCTTCTCTAATCTCGATCTTCTCTTTCTCTCTCTCCCCAAAAAAGTAGTTGTTCAAAAGGACACTCGATCAGTATGATCGGCTTCGCAAGAGGAACGCCTTCTTGGACCAATATAAGAAAACTAACATGTTCGCTAACAGTTGGGACGAGTTCGACGAATCGAGAGAGGTCCTTGTCGACCTCATTGACGAATATCGTGCTGCCGAATCTAAGGATTATGTTGTTTGTTTTTTCTTTCCCTTGCTCTCCTCTTTCTTTCTTTTCCTCTTCAATTGATTTTGACTCCTCTGTTTTTTTTAGAATTACACGGCTCCTAAGAGCTCCTTGGAAGATGATAGGACTCATCAACGGTGATATAGATATATACATACATAAAATCACAGACTCTCTGAACTCTACACACATCAACACAAACTCAAAAAAGAAGTTCGCGTTTCTCTTACCTTCATATAACAAAGGATACCCCTTTTTTTATCAAAGATTGTCATGGCCATCGTTGTTATTGTTATTGTTGTTGTTAATTTTGTACGGCTTTGAAAGAAAGCATGAAAAATGAAAGCTCAGAAATCAAGCTATTCTTTCTGTACATTGCTCTAGTTAGTGGTGCCAGGTTTTGTACAGGGATCTGTGTTGAAGTGTTTTTAAAAAAAGAAATTTTAATCTCATCATATAATGGTAGATGTTCTTTGTTATCATCAGGCTGAAAGAAAAGCCACTTGGATTTGAATTTTAGATCGACACTTTTTTTTGGGAAGGGGGGCTCTCCAATTGTTTCAGTTCATGTATCTCTGACTAAGTACCAGACTCATGAAACCCAAAAGTTTATATGTACTGAGTGATATCATTATAGATATCAAGATGAGGTTGTGTACATGATATAATAATGGGGTTGATGATGAGGAGATTGTCTGTTCAAGCAGGTTTTGGTAAACTGGTTTAGATTCCTGGGGCCCACTTAGAACTGAACTGGACTTTATTGTATTTGAGGGAAAATCCATTGAGTTAATCAAACAGCTTGATAATAATCCATCTCTCATGGCCTTTTGAGATCCTCTTTTTTCCTTTTTTTGTTTTGACTAGGCTGGCCTGAGCGGAGTTCCCTCCTCCCCAAGCCAGCCAAGTATGGGGTCCAGAGCCCTTCTGGTGAGTCGGCCACCAAGGCCAGGTGGATAGGTGTGAAAATTGCATCTTTGCTTTCTTCTTCCAGTTAGCTGATTTGCATGTTGGTGGTGATGCTACCACAGCTTGGTAGTGTTGGTGGTAGTTTGAAGTACTTGCCTTCCCCCTCCAGTCATCCTGGCTGTGCACTGTGACCATGTCCTCACACTCACAGGCTCACTGAGTTGACCACCACTTACAGTAAAGTAACTCCTCTCAATCTGGTGAGAATCAAACTCTCTTCTTATTTATCTTTTTGCATTTTATTATCTTTACTGATTTTTTCTTCAATCTCAGCTGTGCATCTTCTTTGGAAAAAATCCTTGTCTATCTCAATTGGCTTTCTACCTAGTGAGAAAAATACAAATCATCCTTTCAGTTTTCCATTTATATATATTTTCTTTCTCTCTTGCCTTTTCTAGTCTTTGTTATTTTTCAGTTGTGGTCTTGACTTTCTTAGAAATCAATCAGTCCATTCATAAACTACAAGCCTGAGCAGGCTTTCAAGAGGGAAATATTGTGTAGGGAATTCCTCTTGATACCAGGAATATAGGGTTGGACTGACAAGATGAGGACAAGATGATGATCAAATGCTTTGGGGGCTTCAAAAAAAGACTGACCAAAAACATGGTCATTTTGGCCATTCCATTGAACACCAAAAACTCTAGTCTTGCTACTGAGTGAATGTGGCTATGGAGGCCAATTTTAGTGAGGAAATTGGCCTGGTAAAGCTTCAGTTCAGACCACCTCAAATCCTGCTGGCACCCCACAGCCTGCTTTGGGCAATTAAGTGTGCCAGTTTATTAAGCAGGTGCCTCTCCTTGAAAAGCTGTTTCCTTTGCCAGTGCCCCAGTGCACCTTATCTAGTCAGTTGGTAATTAATGTACTGGATTGCAAAGAAATGTTCCCCTGGAAGGGTGGGTATGCATCATTGGATAAAAGTGATCTTGTGACACAATATCAAATCAACACATTACTTGGTTCAAACAAATTTACAACGATGTTAGACCATCAGGTAGCCTCTTCTCTTTAATTGGTATGACTTTGGAAAATACATCTGTGGACATTTGACTCTGAAACACCTGTCTGAAGTTTGAATCCTTGTTTTCTACTTTCATGAAATACTTAGTCCAAGGGAGTAGCTCTAATTGTCGTATTTGCTCGAAATTACGAATGTTGTAAGTTTTAAATTGGTCCTTCCTGAGAAGTCTTGACGCTATCTGGACCAAGTAGGGGGTATCAAATATAACAAATCCACCATTGGAAACCAGTCAATTATCCAAAAATATTTTTTTACACCAATGCATCTCTGAGGTGGTAAAATGGATAACCAACATGTTTTAAACATGGCAGTTTTTTCAAAACCAGTCAATTAATTCATGGTGGATTTGCCTATATTTGATACCCCCTAGTATGTACTAAATTTTTCTCCATCTTGAAAGACCAGCAGCCATTTGGAAGGATTTTTAGTCCAGTAGTAGGAAATCATCACTTCCACTGCCACTTTTGTGACCATGATCAACTCTGCTGACAATTTATGTGCCCGCTTTTCGATCCTGTAAATCTTTCTTTCATTTTGACAATCCAAGTGTTCGATTATTTTCCTTTGAAGGTAAATTCTATCAACTGTTTTAGAAGATTGGTAATCGATTTCATTTGATTCCGGACGAGCCGATAAAGTAAGCAATTCGATGAATTCTTGTTGAAGTTCTCGCTGTTGATCCAAAAAAACACGTTCGTGTGGTAGGTAACCAAAAGTCTCAATGACTCGTGAATTGATCTTCCAAAGCATCTGGAAAACCTTATTCACTTTGGAATCGAAGTTGTGTTTTTGGAAGAAAATTTCATGAGATCGCACAACATCACGAGGATTTTCTACGCTTTTAGATCTCCACGTCTCCAATTGTATGAGTAATTCCCCAAAGTCCGGAGGCTCGACGCTTTTGTCAATGAATTTTTTGTAAAAAATTTCAAACATTGAAATATATGCCCACAACTTGTTAAGATCTTCATTCTGCAAATATTTGGAGGTTGGAGTGAATTCAGTCATCATAGTATCCCCGTTTCTCGACCATTCTTGTGTAGCTCGCACGCGCCCTTCTACGTTGACAAAAACTGTTGTGCTAAAGAAAGCAATTCTCTTATCTCGTTTGGCATATATTGATTCATCGGGAATAGGATTTCTCCAAGGAAATAACGCGTGTGGGCCGGCGTTGTCTATATCTTCGGACAGTTTCCTAGAATAAGTCCGATACAAATCCCAACATCTAAGTCTTTGAAGGGCAACTGGAAAGTCCTCGTCCCGGTTGAACAAGGCCTCCCATTTTTTCAGATTCTTCTTTTTGTAGTAAGATGTTAGGAATCTTATCACAGCTTCGGTCATCAAAAGTTGACTTAGACAAACTGATGCATCGGGGACAGTGCCAGTACTAGGGGTATTGTAAAATATATGGTGGCTGGGTGCTGAATATTTTGAAGTAACGGATCTTATGAGGAGTTTTCTCAGAGTTTCTTCTGTATCTTCATGAGTTTTCGTCGAGGTGCTTTCGGCTTTGGCAGAATTGTCTAAAAGATTGAGAATCCACATTTGAACCAAGAGTTGTTCGGCAATGTAATCGCTGTTCTCCGGTTTAAATGTTTTGATGAATCTGGAGTTTATACACCAGAGAAGGTGAGCGAATTCCTTCAGCCTATTGCTGGATTCTCGAGTAACCAGTTTCGCAAGCTCAGCTGGTTGATCGGTTGATGGATTCAAATTCAAGGCAAGAGCTTTGATAAAACTCGAAATATCTGATTCATGCTTGCCAATTATTTCCTGATAGTCTGTAAGAGGTATACCAAGTTTGATGCTGTACAACCAAGCTGCGAGGTGGGGGTTCATATCCAATCCATGTTCTTTCCAATCGATGTTCCCTTCCTGAATATCATTTGCCTCTACCACATACTCATGGCGCGTCTCATGGCGATTGTACTTTGACTTCCTGGAACTTTCAGCCTTCATTCCCCTATCCGAATCCTCAACCAAATCCATTGGAACTCCTGAACCAAACCCCTGCGACATAAGAGCTTGGTCCGATAATAAAGAGCGTATCGGTCTTTCGACATCGGGATATGGAGTTGTATCACTTTCCACCACAAATGCCCTTGCAAAATCAGAAGAATGTGTGCCAGAGTTCAAACCAGCAGTCGAAGACACACGACCTGCATGTGATGAATAGTGGCGCAAAAATTTTAGCCCAGTTTCTCCATTTAAAAGAAAAGAGACATGGATGCTGACGGGGAAATGCTGTCAATCCTAGCTGATACTGCTGCAACAAATCCATAGGTTGCTGATTCTGGGTTGGATGAGCTTTCAACCGTTTTTTCCTATGCGAATGAAGACTTTTCTTCGGCTCAACTCCCAAAGATTTATCTTCTGCGGAGCTGCTCTTCCCAAAAGAATCTAGCAATGTATCGTTTATCAGTCCCTGCGCCTGATCATTACGTTCAACAGAGCTTAAAAGTGGGTATCTTCTTGATGGGTTGTAACAAAGCACTCACCAATAAAGTTAATTTCTCGTAATTCGCCATTTGGCTTCGGGTCCAAGCGCCGTGCATTCGATCCCGAAGCATGCTGCCAGCCAGCAAGACTCAAAGATAAGTCAGTTGGTGGTAAATTTGATGCTTCGCGTAATCTACATGCAATTGCCACAACCACTACGAGTCAGTAGGCTGCTTGCGGAGAAACCTCGGTATTTGATATCATTACTCAACCTTTGATCAGTCCAATAGTTGGACTCCGCTTGTGCTGCGTCGAGTGATCGAGTGGGCGACTGTCCGGGTCTCATAAACCCAGCCTGAGCTTCAGGCCAAATTATGAGAACGTAGTAGAGTAGTTTTTTCATGGGCAAGCAGTTGTGGAAGGGTGTAGCTGGTGAAGTTGAAACCAGCGGGGGCGGTCGTACTCTGCTGTACTTCCTGCCTTTCGCAAACCGCAAGATGAAGTGCTATGTATGTATGTGGTCCTCAAACGTTCTCAGCTCTGACGAGTTGGTACAATACGAATGTTTGGCCAGCGCCTGGGCAATTTCTTTGCGGCTTCGTGATCTTGAGGTCTCAAACATGTCGGTCAGCGTACTCTTCCCGAAAATTCCTGTCCCGCTGGATCATCAAACAATTCTGCAAGATCAAGTTATGTTTACACAAACCTTCCTTTCCGAGGAATGACCACAAACAAGCAGGCGGGTCCTGCTGTATAGATATAAGGGGCAGCATTGGGGATTCTGGTGTTTCTGAACGTGCTCCAATTTAGTGCAGAACTCGGGCACTTGAAGCTCTTGAATTTTCAGAATGCAGAATGCAGTGGCTATGTAATGGCTTCTTAATCTTTGAAACATACCCAAGGTTTGGAGAAACCACTGCCCAACACCAATTCCATTACCATCCCGCAGGGACTCCACCCCCCACAATGCAACAAGTGGTTTGGCAATCTGTGCAAGCAGGGTGAGAATCAGTTATTGAGGTCCATTTTGGTGGTTAGGAAAACAGAAAAGAATGCATTTGGTTAATGGTATGTACATATTAAGCTTGCATAATAGATGAATTGAAGCAGTTTGCAGGAGCAATTTTCCAATAAAATCTATTGAGCAGCAGATATAGTGATGCAGTAAACTAGTGATATGTATGCAGACAATGGGGGACTTCCCGTCAGATCTGGGGCCCTTGCAGAAGTCGGTCTAGACCCAAAAATTCTTGATTCTCGCAGAGAAATTTGAATTTTGAGCCTCTAAACCGGCTCTGGGAGACCCACAGATGTTGACGGGAAGTCCTCCAATGTTGTTCAAAGTAAGAGGATGGGTACTGTTACAAGCTGAATAAGTGTGGCTTGAATTAATGCTTCAGTGTGAAGTATTTGTTCATCATTTAGCTGGGAAAACAATTTTCTGGTAGCATTGTGGGATGAATGATGCATAGCCAGCTCCAGGGTGTTCAAAGTTGGCCTGCAAAGCAATCAGTCTACATCCACACTGACTGCTTGATAAAGTCTATCATAAGTGGTTAAATTACAATAGCGGTGTTAAAATTTGGTCCATACATGTACATATAAACATAGGGGCTTGTTTAAACAACCCCCAAAAAATGGAGAGCCGACTCCCCAGCCCTGGAATACTTGAAATTTGGGAGTCAAACCCCCCAAAACCTTTGACTGGTTTGGGAGTTGACTCTCAAAAAAATATTAAAAAAAGAAACCCCAGGTCGGTTTACTAACTTAACCAAGCCCCCCCCTGGTGGGAGGTTCACTGGTGTGAAGCACTGGCTGGTGGAGAAGCCACCCCTCCCGCAGGGAGGGACTTATGACTAAAGCAGGGGTGCTTGCCTGAGAGGATCTGGAAACTGTTGGAATGCTTATAGGCTAGTATGCTTCTATCAAATCTCGTGTTGTATATAGTCTAAGCCGAACCTGATACAACACTCTCTCTTCATTGAATTCAAACCACATCTTTGCTCTTGTTCAGTCACTGTCACAAGATCTAGCATCTGTGACTTTTAGTTCCTTCACCTGGTCCACCTCAACAGGTTATGAGACCCATTGTTGATACAGCTCCAACTCGACTCTGGTCATCAATCACCCCGCTTGACTACACTCCACTACTTCGTGAAAATCTGAGGATGCCAATTCAAAAAATGAACAACCTGTCGGCCTTGATCCAAACAATTCCAACTTTGGAAGGCAATTCGGTTACGTTTCCGTATTGGCGCAACCGACTCCAGAACGTTCTGCAAATCCAGGGAGTTCTCGACATTGTAAACAAAATGCTGCCTCGTCCAAATAACACTGACTCGAAGGAGGGCAAACTTGCTGTCCAATCCCCGGAACAACGAGGCTACAATCCCGAGGAATACGGCTCTGACTGGGACACACTGTCCAATATGGCGATATCAACGATCCAACTCACGCTCTTGGTGGACCTATCAATCCGCTATGAAGGGGTCAAACCGGCTCACAAGCTTTTCTCAACCATATGTGATGCATATGAGAAAAATACTTGGGCTAGGCGACTCCAACTTGAGGACGCTTTCTGGACGGCACGACAAGACCCGAGTCAACCCATCGAAAAGTTAGAGATGGTCAATTCGCATCCGGATATACGGCTGCTTTTTGCAGCAAAATAACCATCCGCATCCGCATCCAAACCCGCTGGCGGGTATCCGTCGGCCGCAGCGGGTATCCTCGGATACCCGCCCTTTAAACGGCCGGCAAGGGACCGGCTGGAAGGGTTTCCTTCCAGCCGGCGAGGTACATGTACCTCGTCGACTGGAAGAAACCCCTTCCGGTCGACGAGGTACATGTACCTCGTCAACTGGAAGGAAATCCTTCCAGCCGGCCATCCCCCCTTCTGGCCTCAGGTATCCTTTGGGATACCCGGATACCCACCCAAATTTCTGGGAAAAGGGCACATCCAAACCCCAATCCGTATCCCCTGGCGGGTATCCGCCAGGGGATAGCGGGTATCCGCCAGGGGATAGCGGGTATCCGCAACGGATACCCCGCAACCATCTCTACGCAAAGTGGATTGCTCGAGTCCGTATAGCGGCCTTGGACCTATCAAGTGTGAAGTTGACGCTGTGGTAAATAATACTGTGTTTCTACGCAGTAAATATAAAAATTTATTATTATCTCTTTATATCTTATATATATGGTAAAAATAAAATCAGAAATGGATTTCTCAGGTAAAATTAACCCTAGTCACTCACTACAACTAACCCCATATCTCTCATAGTTTAGAAGTTACACAGATTTCAACCTCTCGCGGGATGTCTTTTGGATTCTTTACTCTTAGTATGGCTCATTTTGAATGCTGGATGCATAATGAATATTGAATTCCTTTGTGTTGTATTGAATTCCTTTATTGGCAAATAGTGCATATTGAATTCCTTTGTAGGTGCACATGCATTCCTTTGTAGTAGGACCATGTAGGCTAGCCAAATTCCCTCAAGGCAGTGCTCTCAGCAGCCAATTTCCCTCACCTGAATGTATTAGACCAGCTAAATTCCCTCATTGGATCTTCAGGCCAGCTAAAATGCCTCAAAAGCCTGTACCCTGGGGCTAAAAACCCTCACATTTGTCTATATAAAAATGGATTCCTAAGGTAAAATAACCCCTACTCACTCACTACAACTACCCTCTTATCTCTACTAGTTCAGAAGTTACACTTATCTCAAGCTGTCACAGGAGCTTTTCTTTATTATTCTGACCACGTCTCATTTTGAATACTTGATGCATATTTCATATTGAATTCCTTTACTGGCTTATATTTCATATTGAATTCCTTTGTAGGTGCACATGCATTCCTTTGTAGTAGGACCTTGTAGGCTAGCCAAAATCCCTCAAGGCAGTGTTCAGACCAGCTAAATTCCCTCACCTGCATGTACTAGACTGGCTAAATTCCCTCATTGGATTTTCAGGCCAGCTAAATTCCCTCTCCTGCATGTACCCTGTAGCTAAAATCCCTCACTTTTGTCTATATAAGGAGGCCTCTGCCTGCCAGTTGTTCCCTCCATCATCCCACCAGAGGACCAGATCAACTCAACCCACATTACAGACTATATACAAGTGACAGCCATAACAATACATTATATTGAAATACAAACATAACACTTTCATCATCATAACAAGTGCCAAGTGCCCGGCTCCCCGTTCCATTCCTGGTTGAAGCATAGTGCTCCCAGCACCAGCGCCTTGGTTCCAAATCACCTCTTTTTAACTTTATATACCATCAACCTCAAGGACCTGCGTTCAAGCCTCAACCTTGACAAAATTCACCATCACCACTTATACCAACAATAACCTCATCAACATCAGCATCATCACCATCAACTTTAACCGTTATACAAATCATTCGACAGCTTCATCTCGAACTATCCTCTATCATGATAT